CATAACTATAAACATGAAGATGAAGGTATCCATCAACTTCGAGTACTCCTATTACTGTTACGTCTGCTACATTTTGTGATGATCTCTTACCATTAAAATAATTGGCAATAGTGTAGAAATTGTTTCATACCATCTCCTCTTCTAACATCAAACGTCGTTTTCAGATGTCATTTCTTGGTGGATATACATGATACCTTTATATAAGTATGGGTCTTTGATTTATGGTTTTCATATTCAATTCGGTTCTACTTTCACAATAAATCCAACTCACAAGCAAATAATTTGATCACCTGTTGTTTTCAGGATATTAAAAGGGAAACAAATAGCAGGACAATAAAGTGGATCAAATGCATGCTTAATGAATTTCAAAGTGTTCACAGGATCCGATAGCTAGATTACTTCCAACTCTCAAGGTAAATAGAGTACCGTGCATGATGACTCTTTTCTAGGTATGGTCATTTTAGTAAAAAATTTCTTTAAGATGCTTTTAGTTTACTTCTTCAAAATAAGAGGTTATGTTGTTACTGTTGTTATACATTGGAATGATTTAATATAGGGGCGATCATCAATGCAAATGGAAGACTTGAATTTTAGATAACACATTGTGCAAATTCTTTTATAGCTAAGACCATTAGGAGTACTTTCTTTTGGATTTTTGTATGCATTGATCATCAGTTTACTTTTTTGTGGCCATGTTTTAGAGAGGGAGGATTGATCATGAATCAATTTTTTGAAGAGATGATACGGAGATCAACCTTTGCATTAGGTGATTAGGCGATGATTTGATTAGGCGTGACTGTGTTGTTGACGTGAAGGGATACTTGAGCAAAGAGAGAGGAGTAGAGGAGCTTGAGCTTGGCTTTTCGGTTCTTAAACAGAAGTTTATAAAGACTCCTGAATGTGGCTCACCGGAATCGACTCTTAGTAGTTTCTCTTGGAAAGAGGAAAAAGTGGTTAAAGAAGAAGAGTGATCTATTTTCCCTTTTTCTTCTCTGGCTTTTTATAAGTATATTTGTATTTTGTTTTCAAATAAGGGGGAACTGACGATGTTTAAGTGTTCTGATGAAAGCAGTTCTTTGTTATAATATTAGTACGTGAGTGCAAATTTACAATGCGTCAAAGGTTATCTCTTTGACATAACATTAGTACACAGGTGACAGATCTTTCCTCACCAAATCAAGAGCCAAAACTTTACCAAGCAAACGTAATGAGATTTTTGTTTCTGCTGACATGAGAGAAAATTTATATACTTAATTTCCCACACTAAACGTTAGAGAAACTCATTGAATTTTCAAGTTTCAATGAAATGATTTTATTAAAACGAAATTAGCTCTTAAGTATGTATTGAAAAACTGAAATTCAAAAACCTTCTGTCAATAGGTTTCACACCCAATATTCTCCTTCATATACTGTTCTTCTCTTCTTCTCTCGGGTTCTTATCCCCACTCAATTGTAGCTACAATTGATTAGCAAGAAAACTCAATTTTTGATACGATCATTTTATATATATAACATTTTGTTACAACTTGCAACATAAAAAATACTTTGCAAAACAGAATCAGTGATTGTTAAATCAAGCTAAAGATTAACTTCCCACCAAAAACATGAAAGGATTTGAAGCACACGGTTGGTTGAAATAGTGCGGGTACTCACCTAGTTTTATTTAAAATCGAGAAAATTGGATAATTTTCAGTATATTTGGGTAGTTCAGTTTGGTTCGGTTCCGAATTTTAAGAATATATTAATTTGATCTATGTTTTGGTATAAATTTATTTTATTAGGAAAAAAAAAACCGAAAACCCGATCAGTTCCGTAAACCGAATCAAACTACTTAAGAACCAAATCAATTTTATATAATGGGCCAATCGGTTAGGGTGACTTAACTGAACCATAACCGAAAACTGAAAATCTATGTTCAGTTCGGGTAAAAATCCCAGCACACTTTTACAGTTTGGTATGTTTTATTGTGTTTAGGCAGCTGCGGAAATAAATTTCCCACCAAGCCGAATGGCGGCATTTAATGGCAAAACATGTTGAAGCTTTCATTAGAGAATTTTTTATCTGAATCGTTTGAAGCTTTCATTAATGGCAATATGTTCGTGTCAAAACATGTTGCCAACACTTGTTTTATCACCATATTTGGCGAGATCATACCATCATATCTTCCCAAATGCTCCATTGCATGAGGTAACACTTTCAGGTCGCAATTACTTCACTGGAAAAAATGACAAAGAGTTGTTTTGGCAGTCAACTGAGCCTAGTTGCTGTAGGTAAACAAACATAATATCGGAACATTAGTTGTGTGTGTTTATACTTATTTATTTTTTGAGAAATTTCAAAAAATTGCCACTTTTCAAGATTATTTTTCTTTATATTATTTATGAGCTAATTTTGAAAAAGTGACATTTTTTGAAAATAATATAAAAATGTCACTTGACATAAATAATATAAAAATGACACTTTTTCAAAATTATTTTTCTTTATATTATTTATGTTTGGGTTAATTATGCTCTATTANGGTTTAGTTTTGAGTGTTTAGGGTATTTTAGGTGTCAAAATATTTTTTAGGGTTTAGAATTTTAAGATATAAGCTTTATAAATCTATAATTAGTGACATTTTTGTAAATGGACACTCTAAGTGGCATTCTTGCAAATGTGCAGACAAAAAATGGTATTTTTGTAATTGCCCCTTATTTATTTGTCTTGCACACTGATTGAACTGAGCCATTTGCTTGAATATAAAAAACTCTGCTCCTTGCTTTTGGTTTTGCGCAGAGAATAAGTTCGGGCAATGTGTAACATGTCGTAAATTCACGATCAGCGAAAAAATTGGTCTACACCGATAAATAACTCATATCATCTAAAGCTTTAATGTTTAAACGCTATTAATCTCGATATATGATTTACAAAATTTATGGAATTAATACAAAGCCAGTTTCCATTTTATCAATATATATACCAAAATAGAGAGCAGAAAAAAAAATCAAAAAAATAGATACTGCAATCTTTATTCGTCATTTTTTTTCTCTGTTCTAAGAAAAAAAAAATAGAACGTCGACGTTTCCCTTGAAAGAAAGCCCTAGAATTAATCACTTGTTAATCACTTCTCTTTTTCTTTCCATTGAGAAATTAGGGTTTCGATGCTCTTTGAGTTTTAATCTAGCGTTTATCTGCTTCACTTGACCTAATAATCTTGGAGCTTGCTTTCGCTATGTATATATTAAACTGGTGGGTATTTTTCTTCCTTTTCCTCTAATTTGGTATTTAGAACTCTTGTTTCGTAATCCTTATTGAATATTTCTCCATCTGGTACGGATTTGATTATTGGTAAGGTTATAATCCAAGGTTTCAAGAGTTACAAAGACCAAGTTGCTACTGATCATTTCAGCCCTAAGGTTAACTGTATTGGTAATGTCTCTCTTTGTGAACCGATTCCCTTTGTTTAATTTCCCCTGTTTTTATCGAGGTTGATTGTTGTACCTATGTATCCTAGTTCTCACTAGTTTACGGTTCTTCATGTCATCGACTGAAGTCTAAACTTGTTGCTGAAAATGATAAAACTTTTTTTTTATAATGAAGTTGGGGCAAATGGGTCTGGGAAAAGCAACTTCTTCAATGGTAACCATCTCCAAATCTTCCTTGTTTGCGAAGAAAGTATCTCGCTAGTACAAAATTTTAAATTATTAGTGACAACTTGTTTGGTTTTGGATGCAGCAATTCGTTTTGTATTGAGTGATATCTTCCAAAATCTCCGAAATTAAGATGGGTGTGGAAGTTAGTTTGAATATTATACATGCTCGTTACCAGTGAAGATGGAATCGTAGGTTAATTATTATGAGACTTGTGTTCTTTAGTCAAAGTA